GAGCGCTGCTGCGCTCCCAGCGCCGCACTCTCCCGAGTGCGCCACGGGCTCGGCCCAGAATTTTGGAACTTTTGAACCCACCCTTCAACCTCCTGACAGGGGAGAGGGGCTGAAGATTGAGTTAATCACCAGTGGCCAATAACTTAATCAATCATGCCTCCATAAAAAATCTCTAAATGATGGGGTTCAAAGAGCTTCTGGGTTGGTGAACATGTCAAGGTACTGGGAGGATGGAATGCCCAGAGAAGGCATGGAAGCTCCTTGCCCTATGCATCTCTTCCATGTGGCTGTTTGTGACTTGTATCCTTTGTAATAAACTGGTAAAGCTTTTTCCTGAGTTCTGTGAGTCATTCTAGCGAATTATAGAACTCTGGGGCTGTGTGGGTACATTGTGGAAACCCCCTAATTTGTAGCAAAGTTGGGCAGAAGTGTGGGTAACCCAGGACCTGATACTTGGAACTGTGTCTGAAGTGAGGGTAGTATTGTGAGACTGAGCACTTAAACCTGTGGAGTCTGATGCTAACTGTAGATAGTTAGTGTCAGAATTGAATTGAATTATAGGACACCCAGAGAGTTGGACAAGTGATTGGTGTGAGGAAAAAAACACATCTATTTGGTGTCAAAAATGTTGTGAGTAAAAACAACTCATTAGAATGAGAATGTGTATATAAATACTCACATGTTCATTTTCATTTATAGCCAGAATAAGCAAAGTTTTGTTACATAATCCTAATGAATGTAGAGTGCTTAGTTTGTAAGAACAAGTCCAGGAAGTGTGAGTTTAAAAATTTTAGACTTAGAAGTGAACCTCATATATCAGCTAGTCTTGCGCCTGTTTCATAGATGATGAAACTGAGAGCCGAAAGGTAAAATGAGTTAAACAAAAAGAATTTATAGATTAATTGTGTTTCACAAATGAACCATCAGATAAAAGGACAAATCTGATTATTTTCGCTTTTGGTGTGTTAAGGGAAATGTAAAAAAAATTAGAGGGGAAAAAAGCAAAAGTTAAAGTTATTTTTATTTATTTTATTTTATTTTTTTTTTCTCATTCTCTCCTTTTTTTTTTTCGTTAAATTTTTATTTTGTCAATATACACTGTATATGATTATTTAAAGTTATTTTTAACCTAACCAAATTAGCTTGTCGTTTTGAAGTGTTAATTTGGCCAACTAGATAATATGAATAGTTGCAATAGCCTTATTCTTTTTGCCTAGTAATGAATCTGATTCTTCAATTTAAGTAGTCTGGCATAAAATATCGAATATTTGGTGCTATTGTTTGAGGAAGATTTATTTCTCCCACCTCAAGAATGAACAGAATGTTTCCTTAACTGTGCAGTCCTTGTTGGGGATGAGGGTCAACAAGGAATGCCACACATCACATAAATGGCTAGTTTTTTAATTATGCTAAATGTGCTACTGTTTGGAAATTTTGTTTACAGATCTCAGGGGGGCTATTGACTTTGCTTAGGGAATCTACCTCAAAGGAGTAAGTAAGGGTTTCTAGTCCCTAATTGGATAGATTAGTCCCCTTCACAATTCCTGATGGAAAAATTCTTTGTCACAAAGCTACAAGTAGATGTCCTTGGTTATTGTTGCAAAGAAGATGATAATTATTTGTTAGAGTGTGGTGTTGTAACACCAAGGTCAAGGGTTTGGATCTCTGTAACAAAGAAGGAATTAAGTTACTACTTCTTAGGGTTCTAATTTCTCTCCTCCTCATTCACAGAAATTCTTTCAGTGACAGAATTTCTTTTTCAATCCTAGTTCTC